TTTTTTTTTCCCCTAGCTGGGATATATGTTGTTTCCATATCAATTTTTTTAAGTTAAATAGTTTTCTGTTTAAGAAAATCTGAGGTGTACCCAACCTTAAGATAGCATTTAGATTATACCTTGATGAATGTAATAAATTTATTAATAAAATTTTGTCTAAGATTGGAACACTAAATGTCATCAGCACTCTGAGATGAATAAAGTTGGTCTATCATTAACTAAAATATTTTTGTCTCTTTTTTCCTCTCTTCTTTCTTTCCTTTGTTACTAACCTCCTTCCTTATCCCCCCCCACCAAATTTAAGCACTTGAATACTTGAAGAATATATGAGTGATTTTATGTAATTACTCGTTTACTATCTCTCCTCCTCTTTTCTGACTGTAAATTCTGTGAGGACAGAGATACACCAATCTTTTTCACTTCCACGTGCCTAATGCGTAGGATTGGTCCATAGCAAGAATTCAGTAAATTAGTTGAATGAATGAATCAATGAATAATAAAACACGCTATGAATGCTTTTAAAAAAATTATCTTTGTTGAAAATGTGTTTCTTGTCTATTGAAATATTTAGATTGTAAAAATGGGGAGAAATCATAATAAGAAAAGAAATATTTTTAAATAAAAATGTTTTTATATTTGCTACTTGTTTTTTAACACAAAGAGTAGCATAATAAACAATCAATTTAAAATGGCTTTTGAAACTAAACCTCTTATTATTTTGGATTAATATTTTGAACTACATTTTACCATGTGACCTTGATTAGCTCAACTAACATATGGCCCAACTAAATTAAAATAGTTTGAGGGCACAATACGGAACTACTCATATTTTTACAATGAGTATCAGTTTTAATTGAAACATGATGTGGGCCTATGTAGATAATATAATTTTTCGTTATTTATTTCAAATTGTAACTTGAGAATTTTAAGGATTGAAAAAATATTTCTAAGCATAACAGAGAATATTGTGCTCTTGGGTTCAGAAATTATTATTTAAGCAAAAAGGCCTGACTGATCAGAAACACAAGGGCAAAAGTAAGTGTATCTAATTCCTCAAAACAATGTTAGTGTATACTGTTCATGTAATTGTTGTATAACAGGTGTGTACAAACACTTCAGCTAAGAGATAGGAAAAAAAGAAAAGACGTCACTACTGACTACAATGGGCCTTGGTAAGTACAAAGTTGCCATAAATTAGAATTTGATATATTCTGGATTTAATTTGACCACTGGTTTAGAAAAAGGCTGTTAATATTTGGCTATTCAGTAGTATACTTTGGCCGATAAGATTCTACTCACTGTTTCATAATGTCTTTTCAGCTCCATGTAATTGTAATAATATCTCTGTTACTATTTGCTTAGCTTTTATCTCCTTGTGACTTTCAGGGTATACTTTCATCCTATATTTTTCTCTAGGCATCCACAAGGACAAAAATAAACCTCCCAGCTTCTCTGTTGTCCTTGAGATTTTGAGGCATACCTTGACAGATTACCAGAACAAGCTGGAAAATGCATCTAATGAGGTAACTCTTGCACTGTTTGGCTCCACACATATAGCCTTCGGCCTGCAGCAGTACGTAGCCCTTGCCTGTTACAAAGGTCAGAAAAATTGGGAACACTGAATTGGCTGCTTCACAGATACAAAAAATAATAAATTGTCTGTCACTGTTGTTTTTTCAAGTGTGGCCTAAAGTTGCGTCTCATGTATGTTTTTATAATCACTGTCACTATTTTCAAAGTTATAAAGTCTGTCACTTCTGGGACTTCAAAATTTATTTATTCTGATTTAGTACAAAATCTATGCAAGTTATTGAAGTTAATATGTTATATTTAAATGTTAATGTGTTTTTTATGAAATTTGGAATAGGTAGTGGAAATTTGGGTTTTGTCAATATTTTAGGTTAAGATTTCTACAATTGTGGAAGTCTTAATAAAAAAGGAATAAGTTAGTTTTTATTCTCTAAAGTGTTAGAAGTTTTTTAAAAACAAATGTTTATTTGATGCAGCATGGAAATTTTTAGTTTGCTGATTGAAAAAGCTGATGCTTCTATTTATCATCTCATTTGTATTGTTTAACATGTGGGTTGGTAATTTTCTTGGGTATTAAAATATTTTATGCATTCGTGCTTTAAGAATTGAAGAGTTTGCTTAGTTACATCTTGTCAAATTAGAGAATATGAAATAATTCCATTGAATACAATTAGTTAGCAAAACAACAAACAGATGGTTTGAACCAAAAACAAACTACATAGCATGGAATTTAGTGTTTATCTGTTTTTTTTTTTCCATATAATACAAAGGCCATGAAACCATTACATTTGACATTTCAGAAGGGGCTTATTTTACTTTTGTTTAATAAGATGAACAAAGAAAGAAAAGTGAGTCTTTTTAATACCCTTTGTAATTGTTCAAAAGGCATAAAAGAAAGTGAACGTTGAAATAATTAAAGAACAAACATTGCTAGGTCTTTCCCTGTGAGACAAGACAACTTGTATTGTGAGTAGTTTATGAAACTCTTCTGAGGCCTCGGTCTGGAAACTGCAGGGTAACTAGGAACATATTACCCACAGCGAATTGTTATTTGGGAGGATGAATGTCACATGATCCTCAGCACAGTTGAAAAGTCGACTCAGCAGGCTTTGGCTTAGTAATGCGCTTTGTTGTGAACCAGTGCCAGAGACAGCAGTGGGGAGACCAAGGGGGTGGCTGCAAAGAAAGCAGAAAGAGCAGTCTGACAGAAAGAAGAATGAACTGTCAAAGAAAATAAATCACAGGCAGAGCAGGACCAACTGATGACCTGCCACAAGCCTTCCCAATAGGACTGCATGTGACCGACCCTGAAGTTGTCATATGGAGTGAGAGACCAGTGAATACCCTCATGATGTATAGAAAGAATGGTCTTCGGTTCTGTCCTTTTTTCTTTTCTTATAGATGCCACTGCTTCTGGCATTTTGGTCCAGTAGGATTTTAAGAATAAAGTTATATTTGTGTACAGTAAGAATGAAATGCTTTATCCAGACATAACACCATTGACATTTTAAGCTTGAATGCTTTTTCTTTTTACCCATATGAACTTGTGACAGAAATTACATAGTTAAGCAAAAGAAATAATTTTTAAGACTCTTAATTACTATTGAAAAATTTATATTAAGTAATTGCATAAAAAACATGTAAAGATTAGCTTTCAAGTTACCCATCCTAGGAAAATATAAAAAAGTTACTTATATTTTCTTTTATCAGCTAAACAATGTCAGTGATGCTAAGGAAAAGGCATCTAATGAACTTGATTCTACCAAACAGAAGATAGAATCTCACACTAAAAATATAAAGGTATTATGATTTAAAATAATTTTTTCCTTTTGTATTAAGAAACAAATATAATTATTTATGGAAACTTTTTAGGTAGAGATCTGTAAATACATCTTTCTGTTTCTTATTAAGTATGTTTGGATACAATTTTAATTTTTTGTTGTTGATCAAAGTAACAAAAATGTTTTTTCATTAAAAAAACAACTTGATTAGACGTTATTCTGGTTAATAGAAACATTTATTTCCCAGATTTAATTATAAAACCATAGATTCAAAAAATGATTTAAGTTTTAATATCTACCCTTTGATACATAGTAAACATATTTTACATAAGCACCTCAGTATTTGGAGTCAGTTTTCATCTTTTTAGGGTGGAGCCATTATTTTTTGTATATCATGCCTGGTGATGGGCTGAGGCCACACCTGGCCCAGGTCCAGGACAACAGTTTATTTTATTTTCTGTGCTGGTTTTTATGGACTACATCTTTGTAATGTTATATTGGAGCAACTCTGAGTTGTTCAGTATTGTTGGAATTTTTTTGTGTTAGTTCATGTTGAGTTTGTCATGGATATACTTCAGTAGAATTTGTTAAGGAATAAATGCTCAGCAGAATTTTAAGCCACATCTTTGAGATTTCTGTTAGTATTTGGAATGTCATTGAGAAGTAAATGTTCTTACATTAAATGTAGGGGATTTATTTTTAGAATTTTATTTTCATGTTATTTAAAATTTTTTTGAGCCACCAAGTTATTTTTTTAAATCATGGATTGAAAGAAGAGAGTGTTTTGGAATATTAACGTTTTATGTGTAAACGTTAAAACAACTTATTTTCTAATTTTTGAGCTAAAAATATTACACTTAGAAAAAAGTCAGTAAAATGCCTTAATGTTTAGCATTGTTATTCTTTTATGTTAAAGCTTTGGAAGTTCATGATGTATTTTGTATTTGTGTCCCCCACTCTTATACTGACCAGACATCATATAACCTCTGTTTTTTGGTATCTCCGACAGGACCTTCAGGACAAACTGGCTGATGTCAGTAAAGAGCTAAGTCATTTACGCACTAAGTGTGCCGATAGAGAGGCTCTAATAAGTACCTTAAAAGTGGAACTACAAAATGTGCTGCACTGTTGGGAGAAGGAAAGGGCACGAGCCGCCCAATCTGAATGTGAACTGCAGAAGCTTTCCCAGGCTTTCCAGAGGGATACCGAGGTATTACCCGAGACAAGGGGACTGTCAGGAAAAGCCTCTCACTAATCTCAGTTTTATAAATTGACATACATCCAGTGGCCATTTTTACTCTTATTTGACTTAATTCAAAAAATTGTTCTGAGCTCACTATTTTGAAATATTCATGCCAGTTGTAAAACCAGTATCCCATTACTCTTGTGTCAGCCTGTTTTGTAAGAGGAGTAATGCAGATTTACCTTTCTGTCACTCGTACAACTAATTTTCTCTATGTAGAACATTCTACCTCAAGCAGCTGTGCTCCTAACAGTCCTTTCAGGGTGTGCCTGATTGCCAATGACAAAATTATTATTATTTTTTATTCCAGTTGTTCAGTAGCCTGGCTTGGTGGAAAGAATTTTTTTTTGTAATCAGATGGAAAACTGGACGTGGGTCCTGGTACTTCTGTTTACAAACCATGTGAACATAGACAAGCCACACAAGCTTAGTCTCTCCACATCTGAGTTTCATTATTTGCAAAATAGGAATAATATTTACTTTAATATTAGTCAGTCCCTCTTCATATAAAATATATAGGAGTCCCTCTTCATATAAAAATTTAGAAAAATACAAATCTTACAAAATTATAACTTTATTTGGATGCTCTAGAGAGTTGCCTATCCATTTTTATTTATTAATGACTTCTTAAAATATGATGACAAAACTTTCATATTCTGTAGGAGCTTGTGTGAATGGAATTGTTATCTTATATTTTCTTTTACCCATGGGATGTAGAGTGAGCCTAGCTAGTGAAGAACTGGTTTATCTGAGTCGTCCTACATATTGAGTTCATTACTCCAACAAATATGAACATGAATGCCAAGAGAGAAAAAAGGAAACATTCTTTCCCCTCTTCTTACAGTCTGGGATTTAAATTGTGTCCACATGAAGGGGCTGGAATTGTTCTACACATCAGATAATGATTAAAGTAAAGGAAACTGGAAGCCTGACTATATTGTAAAGTCAGCATGTCTACAGCATTGTGGTTGGGTTCAACATGTGTGAATTGATTTTGGACCTTGAGACTCTCTTTTCACGCCAAATGGATGATTATCATGCATGGTTTGTCACAGCCCAAGCAAAAAGGACATAATGGCGACACAATGAATTATGCTTGAGGATGAACTCAATGGCAAATGCGAAGGGGGATGGTTTTAAGTGCCTGAATATTACATTTGGTTAGTTGTATTCAATCAGATTTTTAAACATCTCAGCCCAGTTGAAAATGCAAAGGACGTCTTTAATTGCTTAAAAAAGAAAAAGGCATAGCATATTTATGAAGACTCTTCTGATATCCTAACTCATTTATGGTTTTAATTACATATTCAATTTTTTGGTTTTTCACTTGTTATATTTGGAAAAAATAAGGTGGCGTATAGGGAGAATTAAAGATACACATTTTGAAATATATCAGAAAACTTTCCCTACAATTTCTAATTACAAAACATTTACATATGCTAGATTCAATTTTTCTTATCTAGAAGATTAGAATTTCAATTTTTTTCCTCTTAAAATTTATCCTTTAAAATTTTTTCTTTTTCTGCTGATCTATTAAATCTTGAGGGAACTTATTTTATCTACATAAAATATTCATTTTGCAGCTTCACAGTTACCTTGTCTTGGGTTCCATTATTTGGGGCTTTATAAGATGAAACACCTTATAAAGATGGCCATTTGGCATTTAGTAAGTAAATCCTCTTTGTGTGTTCAAGATGGGATCAGCTTTTTACTGAATTCTACAGCATAGTATTTATAGGTATTAAACAATGGATAATTCAGTTGTTGCAATGGCAATATAATTTTAAAGAACTTTCTTTTACATATTTCTAATTGGACAGTTTTGAAAGTGTGTCTTGGGTACCCATTTTCCACTTTTTTCCTGTTACTTTGTAATACTTAAACACCTACAAATGCCCTCTGTGCCAAACCCTATATGAGCTTATAAGTGGGGAACACAAATGAGCCCATCTTCCATATCTTTCATATCACTGTCTGCTTTGCCAAAGGGGCTTGGGATAGATTTCCTATAAGTGGTAAGTGAACCGGAATCTCTGGAGAAGAAAGCTGAGTAATTGTGTACCTGTAAAGTACAGATATTGGTATAGCTTTCTCTTTGACAGAGTTGAGTAGCGCTCTTCTCTTTATATTGTTTTTTTTTTTTACTTAAAATAACATCTGTTTCAGCAAATGTAAATATGAAATTGTAGAACTCCCATACTGACTTGCAGCTAGAAGAGCTTAGACACAAGTAGTTCAGGTACCTATGTTACTGTTGAGGAAGCTGAGGCCTGAACATGCTCTTACTCAGATCACATCCTCAGTAGTAACTGGGGTGTGGGGGGTTCAGAACCCTGCTCTTCCAGCTCCTAGATTTCAGATTTTAGTTTGAATACTAAGTGTAAGCAATTCTGTGTTTCTTTCTGATGCTTAGTTTTGAATGTAAAAAAAAAGAAAAGACACCAAAGTGACAATATTCTGAGACTAGAGTGTTTTTAATTCTTTTCCAGTTTCTTGAAATAAATTCTTTACCATGTGGGTTATGTGTTTTACTTCTTAGAATGTTTATATACTGGAATTAATTTCTTTTTTTCCCTCTCTCACAGGAGAAGCTAACTTTCCTTCATACCTTGTATCAGCACTTGGTAGCAGGCTGTGCGCTCATAAAACAACCAGAAGGCATGCTGGATAAATTCTCTTGGCCTGAGCTTTGTGCAGTCTTGCAGGAGAATGTTGATGCCCTGATCGCAGACCTCAACAGGGCTAATGAGAAGGTAACTGTCCTCAGGCACCAGATACTTCTATTAAATTCAGTGACATTTGTCCACATCACAGTATCATTAAGAGGGGCTGACATTCATCTTATTTCAAAAAGAATTTGGGTGTTAATAATTCAATACCATTAATTATGGCTTGTCTACAACTCAGTTTGATGCCATTGCTGTGGGCATGTAAATGTGACTGAAGTCTGTATGAAGTCTCTAAGCTCCACTTTCTGTGCAGGACATGCTAATACTACTAGCCAGTATTAGCCACAGGGACCTAATTAAAAGAAAATAAATTAATCTCACTGATGAAGCAATTCAAAGAACTTAGTCATTTACATGAATAAACCAACTCTTTATGTTAGCATAAAATAGAAACAAGATACAGTTATTCAAAAACACGATCTTAAAATTCTTTGCTTAGGAAATAATGAGGTTTTCCTTTAAAAGAACTTAAAAATTTTAAATTATGTTTATGGCATTTCTTGAAATGTAACAAACTGTATATTACCAACCCATTCAGTGCTTTAGATTGTAAGAAGTATATATTGTAGGAGAAAATGGAAGACTTTATAGTCACTTTTATCATTCACCAGCCTAGGAATTCAGCCTTTCAAAAAAATGTAAAAACCTTTTGGTTAGAGAACATTAAAATAGCTTAGCAGACTAACATATGCCACCATTAAAGATATTGATTCTTATCCTGGG